CTGTTCTATCACGGCTGTGCTTGCGGTATTCGGGCTTAGCCTCTAAGGATGCACCACTTCCTCAGGGCAGAGCGAGATCAAGACTCTTGAAGAAAGAGTGCTCTCGTCCAGAGTAAGCCACGAACCTGAGCCCTTAAGCCGCAACAGCCCCCCCAAACACTAAATCCCTGTGCCTTTATCACTGGTCATGGTCGTGCCATCGCCGTCGCTCCGTCGCCGTCGTCATGTTTCCCGTCGCCTTCTAATCGTCCGCATGAAGGGGTTAGGGTTTAGGGTTTAGGGTGAAGATACCCAGTTGTGATACCAAGTGATGCGACTTTGCAAAGGCACTTTGTGAAGGCAGTGAATTCATTTAGCCGACCCGTCTCTCTCATAGGAATGCACCTAGCTCTGCCTAGTCCGGCCACACTCTTCCAATTGCGCAGAAGGAAGAACCCCAAGCTCCCACGGCTCAACAGCGCAAACTCCACCCTGCCTCTCGGCGTGGCGGTGTGAAAGCCCAGACGGCAACGCCGACTTCCCTCTCCAAGTAAAAGCGACAATCTCCACTCGAGCATGCCTCTTGCGATCAGGTTCAAGACTTGGAATCTTTGCGAGCATCGAAGCCGGTCTCGGAGGAGTCTTGCGGTCCTGGATGACATCCCATACCTATGCCCTGCCGGCAGACCCGCAGCTTTAGTTTTCCACTGACGTGCTCATCGCCCTGAAGTTGCTTTCTCCGACCCGTAACGGCCTGTGTGTGAGGGCTCACTCGACTCGGTGCCGTGAGCCCGGATGTTAGGACCTGCCAACCCATGACCGCTGTCTTTGATGCTCTTCGTCCACCTGTTGTTCAAAACTTTAAGCATCAACTCAGCGCTGGTCTCGTTGGAGTTCTGCAGTCCTACAGAAGGTCCCTTACCTGCGCCGCCAAGCACGTTTGGGACGGATGGCCTTTACAAACGGATCTGCGCGCCGGACAAGCGTCCTGAGGAAGGGGACACTACAGATCCTTCTGACTGGGGATGAAGCAAGCTCTGCAACTGGGCATCGTCAAGACCGCTTAAGGCACACGCCTCTGCTTGCAAGCTAGAGCTCGCAGGCACCGGCGCCAGAGCAGAGATCATAGCTTATTCAAGCTCAAATATGAGCCTTATTGTTGTCAAAGCTGTGGGCAGCTTTCAGGCAGCTGCCGTTCTCGCCATCGGCACAGCTGGGACAGACGTCAGATGTCGTCAGAAGAGGGATCAAGTTTCTGGGAAGGGCTGCAACTCAGCTCAAGCTTTTAGGCAACAGCCAGCATCAGAGGCAGTGTGGGGTCTGGGTGCTGAAATGGCACACGGATCAACGGGTAGGAAGCTGTACGCTCACTGGGAACCCGCATGCTCACTGCACTGTGTTTCCGCACGACCGACGGCATGCTGGTTTGCCCGGGGCATCTCTCTCGAGATGAAGCTGGCCTCGAAATTGCCTGTTTAGCAGGGCATGTCTGCTGTAAGTCACTGCGATTGCTAGCGCAGCGGCGCAGCAGCTGCGCCGGAACTCCAAGGTGTGTTGTTCTCACTTGTTGTTGATCGTACATCCAGCTCGAGGGCTGCGAGGGAGCCTTTGGAGCCGCCCAGCCTGTGCCTGCAGTCTCCACTCGCTCTCCTGCGTTCGGAAGTACGTTCTTCTTACGACTCTTCTTGCAATCTAGTTTTGCCTTCCTCCCTATAAATCTGTTCAAACTCTATCGCATGCTCAAGTAGGTTCCGATTCGCCACATACCCGTGGTGCGTACTCGCCACCAAACAAGCGAAAAACGCAACAAAACAAACAAACAAATAAACAAAAAAGGTCTCTGATCATGAACGCTTCATGCATACCTGTCTTTCAAACAGGATGTCCCGGATTCTATTAAGGTGAATCCAAGAGTTCGTGGTGACACACGTCTCAGGCCTATGCCACTCTCAGTACACAATCTCGACATGGTCATAGCCGTCAATCTCACCAACTCCAAGTTTCCAGAAGAAAGATCTTCCACATTTCCAATCCATCTGACCTCTGTTGGTGCTCTTCAACACCCCAACCATCGTAGTGAACCCTCATAGAGACCCTGGAACTTTCCGCGCAATGGAAGCATCCTGATGCCGCAGCTGCTGCTGCTGCTGTGTAGAGCCCTTTTGGTGGCACTGCTGTGCCCCCAACACAGGTGCTGGGCGGGTCGGCTCGGACGGCCTCCGCGGGTGCCTTGCGTGCACCGCTTTGGGAGGCCTGTTTACTGGATGTAGTATGAGTGCCTCAGTGGCCGAGCAGTGATTGACAATTCAAACTTTGCACTTGCGCAGAACATTTGTGCGTTGCTGATGGGCGTAGATCCATGACGATGTCTTTCTCTGGATGTTCTTTCGTGCCCGCCTTGCATGTTTTTTCTTTGATGCTTTTATCATGATGCATTGACGGCAAGTCTCCATTTCTTCTGTGTCGCGCAAGTCAATCCTGCTGTAATGTTTTACAGGCGGATCAAGCACCATGTAGATCACCGTCAGTGACTATCGGTGTCCTCTTGTTTGTTTGCCTTCATGGCATGGTCCCACAACCTGTGGATACTGTTGTGGTATTCCATGATCGCATTCACGATCCGCGCAAAGGCTCACACACATGTGAACCTCAGCGATTTTCCCAGCCCTGCTGGATTCGATCGCAAGGGTTGGTGCGGCACCTGCAACGGCACTGGGGCTGCCACATGCGAGAATTTGGATTGCACCCAGCGTTGCGCTGCAGAAAGTCATCAATGCTTTAAACCCGGATGTTGCTGCGATCCTAGGATGGTCCCGAGGCCACCTGACTATACATGCAAAATTTTCAGATCTGCCAACAAGCCATGCGCTTGGCATTGTTGTTCTGCATCATTTCACGAAGGCCGGCCTGTAGCAGCGAGACTTTGTGGCGACAATGGGTGTTGCTCACCTACTCCACACGGGATGCCAAGAAAGTGTGGGGCTAGCTTATTTCTTGCTCAAGTGGGGGGCAAGTATAAGCGGCTGCCGTGTTGCTTGGAAGAGGCTGCTTCGCAGGAGCGACAGACAGGCATCAGATGCTGTTTTCATGGTGCGGGCATCAATTGCAACACAAATGCTAGCTGTTGCATCGAAGATCCTCATGCTGTTTGCCAGAGCTCTCCCACAAAGAAGCACCCGGCAGTTGACAATTGTCAGCAGTTTGTCCCCTGTCCAGGCAAGACAGGCACTGATTGCAGTTCTGCCAACAAGAGAGTTTGTTGCTTACAAACTGATGCGCCGTCGGAACATGATCCTTGTCAGTTGTCCTCGCAAGATTGTGGTCTTGGTGGTCGCTATGACCCTTGCCCCTCTTCAAGTTCACTTGGAGTCGATTGTTCTGCGGCAACTCCGCGAAGTATATGCTGCATGCCTGAAGGACGTGAGACAAGCGTTTGCCGCCGGACAGATTGCAAAGCTTACACAGCCGAGAATGCGAGGAACCGGACAGCATTGATGCTTGCATCGTTGCTTTTCGTCGGCGTGCTTGCCTGGGTACTTCGTCGGTGCTGTCGACGCAAACGCAGGGATGATAACAGTCGCAGCACATCGCTCTTACTTAGTGATGGGAGTGTTGCTTTGGCATTGCCACGTTTGGAGCATGAAAAGCGGATCGCTCTTGTTATCACCTGCCAAAGTTATGCTTTCTATCCGGAGCTTAAAACTCCACACAATGACGGTGAAGCGATGGCAGACAAATTTCGCGACCTTGGCTACACGGTCATCCACGTCCACGGCGAGACAGTCACCCGCATGGTGCTCGCTTTGCAGCAGGCAATTCAGGGCCTCGCAGGCACAACGGGCGCGCTTCTGGTGATGTACTATGCGGGACACGCAGTGGAAATGCAAGGTGCGCTGATGTGGGCCGCCGAGGATGCTTGCAGTGGTGACATGTCTGGCCATCTCAACATGGTGGATGTATGTAGCAAGGTGCAGGATCTCCATTTGAAGGGAGATGCTCTTCAGTGGTTCGGGTGCGCATCAGAGGTGCGCCGCCTCTATGTCGTCGTCTTGGCCGATTGCTGCCGCACTCCTAGTGTCGAGGAAACCTTGGGCTGCTTTGTGAGCCATTGTGAGGTGTCCAGGACTCAGAGGCGTGCTCGTGACCGAGCGTTTATGTGCTTCATTTACTGCTGCGATCCGTCGTGCCCGGCACGAGATGGTGAGGATCACAGCCCTTTCGCACAAGAGCTGCTTAAGCAGTTGCCGGTGCCGCAGAACGTAGTCACATTCTCGGAACATGTCGCAATTGGCTTGGCAGCAGCCACAAGTGGCCGCCAGCGCCTCTGGCGGCGCGAGGTGTGTGGGGCTGATTTTCAGCGTGTGAGCTTGGCGGACGTTCCGGAATACCTCCGGTCCAGTCCCACATCTGTGGTTTCAAGCTAGCCCAACAGCCTTCCGCCGTGGATCAGCGGATTTCCCGCTGCGGAACGGTTTTGGTACAGACCAGCTGCATGAAGTATGAATGCCGCCATCTGCCGGCAGCAACAGCTACAGTAATTCGTCTACGATCATGAGTCATAAAAAGGGGCGTTCGACTTCGTGCATACAGCTGTTCTTCAAGTCCCCAAGGCAAGCCCCGAAGAAGCCATGAGGTAGCCTCGATCTGCCAAGCCGCCAAACTTGTGAAAAACCCGTCGGCCTGCTGCACCTCACATTCTGCAATCCTATAGCCTATGGCACCAGAAACTTTAAACGCATGTTCTACAGTACCTTAGACAGTTGTGAGTTGTAAGTACAGGGCATGAAGTTCAGTTCAACCAGGTGGTTTGGTCGGAGTTTCAGCTTACGTTTCGATGGTTGATCGTTTCGGAGGTCATGCAGACGTCAGTTGATTCCGCTGCACACTAGCCTCGACAACCCCCGAGGCATCCGTAAATGAACCCATGGCTGATAAGATCCTTTCCAGTGTGGACATCCTTCATCGGCTTCTTTGTTGTCAGCAAGTATTTCTTGGTTTGGAAAGCTGCGATTGCCTCTGCCATGGAGCTCCTGATCATCAGTGTCAGCTGTTTGCTGCTGCCCGTCGCGCGAGCGTGCGAGCCGGGCAGCTGTGGGGACCTTCTCCAGGCTTATTATTATCATTATTATTATTACTATTGCTATTACTATTATTATTACTGTTATTATTTTTGCTATTATTGTTATTGTTATTGTTATTGTTATTGTTATTGTTATTGTTCGGTTTACCATCCATGCAGGGCCTGCGCATAGGGACACTCTGCGAGTCTTCAGCAGTTTGCCTGCTGGCGAGGTTGGCCTCTCCCTACATTCCGAAGCCCAGCGTGCTGCAGACGAGCATCCCTGGCCACATGCCAGGGGCAAGGTGCGGGGGTGGAAGGTCGTGGAAAGTCATTGCTGAGATTTTGACCCTCAGGTGCCGGGGCAAAGAGGGACCACCGACGTGCAATCCCGCTTGTACCCTGGCTTTTGTGTCTCTCCCCAGTCCCCAGGCCTCCCCGCGCCGCTCAGGCCAGGTGGCAAAAGGGCAAACTGGAGCTGGCACAACCCAGCCGGTCGCTGGGAGGACATGGTGGGAGGCACGAGGGGTCTACATCTTTCTAGATGTTTGGGGAGCCGTGGGCCGTCGTAGCACGGCTTGTCCCTAAACAGTGCTCGATTTCAAGAAATTTCGGTTAATTTGCTCGATCTGGACGTGCTTGAACTGAAGTATAAGTACAGTTCCTTGCCACCGCGCTGCAGTGGATTCACGAATCGTGCCGGCACAGTCCCGCGCGGTTGTTGAGGTTGTTTTCGGATGGAATTGCCGCCCCCACAGTCCCGTGCTCATGTTCAAACCCGAAAAAAAAGTCTGAGCAGGGCCACGCTGTCCGCCTCAGATCACCACAGTGCACTACGCCTATCGTATCACAACGGTTTCAGAGGGACTCAGACAATTTCCAGCTCCGCCCCTTTTTTGTATCACTGTCGCAGCTGTGCCATCGCTGGCGGCGATGTGTTGGGTAAGATTGAATATTTTGATTTTAAACTCCCTGATCGTTTGCAGTCATAGGCAGCGGAAAATCCCATTAGATCCTTGACGTTTGCCGTGCCTGTTGCATGGGCTGCCCCGACTCAGGTGGACCTGTGATCGACAAGGAAAGGTGCATGTACCTGATGACGGAGCATGGTCTCTGGAAGTTCTCACCGTCCGGCAATGTGCTTTGGCACTATAGGACCCCTGGAAAATCTGCCAACGAGCCTTATCTCACTGGCGACATGCTCTTGAGCTCGACTACCGAAGGCACCGGGCTCGCAAAAGGCAATGCCATTCTGCAGCTTTTTGGGCTGCTGCTGCTGATGATGGTGATGGTGGTGATGACGATAGCCAAGATGACGACTGAGAATGCCAGCGATGACGACGAGGATGAGGTTGATAGGATGATAAGGGCCAGGTTCGGGTTGCGTGCCAGGAAACGTCTTCGCCGTCGACCGGCACACCGGGCAGGAGCTGTGGGTCACGCATGTGGCCGACGACGCTGGAGCGGATGCTGCCTACCCGGCGGCACTCGGCGGAGTCTTCGTCGTTGCGTCCAGTAGGTGGGGGTTGCGATGGCTCGGTGGCAGTTTTCGTAAGTGTAAGCCTGAAGTGGCTTGGGTCCCCTATAAAGACTTGGGTCTCCTGGGTCCCCTTTTTCAGGTGGAAAGGCTCCTCGGACTCTGCGCCGTCTGAGCCTTGGGGGAACACGCAGATCTTCGGCCTGGCAGTGCACACCGGGGAGAAGCTTTGGGACTTCGAGTCCGATGCTGTCTTGATGGACTTCACGCCCCTCTTCCCGAACGATGACACCTTCGTCTTCATGAGCCAGGATGGGAGCGTCTACCGAGTGCCTTGTTGGCCTTGGCCTTGGAGTCTTTGGGTGTTATGTGTTCCTGGATGAACCCCTTAGCTCCCAAGCCTTACGCTCTCAAGATTCCTAGGCTGATATTGGCAACACTACGGGACTACGAGAGCCCTTGACCGTGCCTTAGTATCTGTAGCCTTGCGCAGGTCGGTTTGCACAACGGCACCCTCCTCTGGAAGGCGGACTCGAACATCAGCGACAGCTACAGCGACGGGGGCGCCGTCATCGGTCCTAATGGCGTGGTTTATGCCTGCATCCCGGTACAGTATTGGTTCTTCAACAAACAAATGTCCATGATTCATATTATACAGAAAGACTCTAGGCTCTAGACCCCATGTTTCCCTGTTGCAGCCGCCTGAAGCTGTGAGGTAGCAACATGGAGCATGGAATGCAGGGAACCCCGGGCGTCGTTCGTGCCTTCACGCTGACATCCGGGCACCTGCTTTGGGAGCAGATTTTGAAGGATCCTTGTTGCACCTTCCCAGCTGTCGGTCACGTCAAGGGCTCCGAGGCTTTGGCTGTCGTGGTGGCTGCTGGGGCCTGGCCGAAAGAGGAGGTCGACACGGGAAGTGTGCTGGCCCTGGAGGCAGAGACTGGTGCTTTGCTCTGGCAGTTCAATGCGGAACCCTACGCTCCTCCATTGGCCGCTGGGGATGAGGAAAGGCTGGCTTATTTCCACAGACACCCAGGCGTTTCAGAACGGCTGCTCTGTGTGCTCTGCTTGCCTGCGCAGTGGAGTGCCCCGGTCATCGCTGGAGATGGCGCCGTTTACGTCGGGCGCGCCGACGGGAAGCTTTATGTGGTGCACGGTGCCTTGATCGGTGATGAGGTCCCTGCAAACTTGACGAGGGATCCGGTGACCGGTGTGCATGCTTTGGTTCAAAGTGTGGGGAGCACACCAGTGCATGGTGCGCTGGGTTTTGCCGAAGGCCTCCTGGCCTATGCTACCTGCGATTCTCTGTATGTTTGGCAGGAGCCATGAACGACCGATGTCTCCGCTGACGGTGCTTTACTTTACATGATCGTTTCTAGTGCCTCATCCTGGAGTGTAACACTCCATGCGCTGACCGCGTTGTCCTGGCCGCAGCAGCCACGTTCGGAAAGGAAAAAAGGCGACAAAGTAGAATGCCTGGCATTCGGCATCAACTAAGGCCTGTTTGTTTTGATGATGGGAGATGAACTGTAGTAACCGATGGTGGTGATCAAGGTGATGATAGATGAAGATGAAGAAGAAGATGATGATTATGGTTCTGCTGTGTATAGTGCTGATGCTACTGATGACGGCCACCCCATGCAGTGACGTCGCTACAAAACCTTGCAAGTTGGTGGCGACGAGGAATAGTTGTGGTTCTCGATCACAATCAATGCAGGACAAGCAGCAGCTGTCATGAAGAGGTAGCAAGTATCCGGATATTAAGACAGAGAAGACTACTGATAGCAGTGTTCGCTATTGTAAAAGCAATTTCAGTAGTCATGGTACCGACAGTGGCACAGGAACATCATCACCCTCTATGACCAACACCGCAAGCACCAGCGCCATCATCATGGAATGATGCGAGCGACTGTCAGCCCCAAATCATGGATTGGCAGCTATTAGCTCGTCGCCAAATGCGTCAAGACTTTGTACAGGTCCACTTCGAGAGTTGCTTGCATCGATGCCGATTCCCCGCATGTTTGGATCAGTGAGTCATGGTGACTCCGAGACAGCTCTGCATGTTTATGCTGTGTGTCTTTGAGCATCTTGCATGTGCATGCACACACACACACACAGCCACTACAGGCATGGTCACACACACACACACCCACACACCCACGCAGACTGGACCACAGTTCAGCTGCTTGCCCCTTGCATCTGTGGGTGTCACAGAATGCTGTTGCACATGCATCCACGCGAAATGGCGGCTGACACTTGTGGCAGCTGGAATCTGTGACGATGCTTGCTTGCAGGAGCTCTTAGCTGCTAGTCTGGCCAGAGGTGCTCGTGCCACGCTTGTCTGTGTTTGGGCAGATATGGCATGATGCTCGCCAGTATGCTGTCGCTTGGCGCCGGGCGCTCAGAATTGCCCAACTCCCCGATGCTGCTACGGCATACACCGTTTCTTTCCACCTTCCTTCTAATTTTTTTTTGCTTTTTTGGAGGGTGTGTGTCCTTTTTCCCCCGGGCCGGGTGACCGCGTGTGTGACGCTCAGAGGCCTCTGCCGGATTGACGAAGGCATGGGCCTTGTCTTGATCTGGGAGCCATCACAATGCTTGTCGTCAGCTTCGCAAAAAAAAACCGCAGGAAAAGCAGGATCCGAATGACTCAACTCGTACCCAGCACACCTTAGCCCCTATGCCCTAGGCCCTTCAGGGGCCCCGGGTTTTTTCACAGGCCTATACGCCGGCGCCGGCAAGCAACATCACTCTGGCAGAGGGCAGGCAGAGAGTCAGAGAGTTGCTGTAGTACTATAGACTACACTATATATACTATACACTATAGACTACAAATATATACTAGTGGATGAAGAGAGCCCTCATATAGGGCTGCGGGCTACCACGTTCCCACAGTGCTGCATCTCACGTGATACATAGTGCTGCACTGTTGACAGGACATTGTGGGTGGCAGCCGACAGCATGTTCGCATACCACAAGGCACCAACTGTCTCGACCACGAGCCGCCTCCGGGCTTCGTGGCTTCTGGGTTTGGGCGAGTGCTTGCCAACTGCGCCTTCGGATCTTTGATCAGAAGCCTGGAACAGGGGAATCGGGCTCCGTGACCTGCACTGTGAGGATAGGACACGTAGATTGCGGGGCAATCTGCGCTCAGGGGCTGTTCCCTCCGGACATCGCCCGGGGCCTAGGCATCGGTTCGCACCTGGGACTTGAAGGCTGCAGCCTCGAGCTTCGAAGTTTGTCGATGCTTGGACTTCCGCACGTGCCAGCATCGCCCTGTGCCCTCCGAGGCAGATGTCCTTTGCTTCGCCGTGGCCGCGGCAGGCCTCACGACAGCGCTGCCCTTCTTTGATTTGTGGGGCCTCCTTTGGGGGCCGGGTACTGTTCGTGCCTCCATGTCGGGTTCAAGTGTGGGAAGAACCGCAACGTCCAACGCACGTCTCTGTGTGGCATGCTCCTTCTCGCCTTTGCCATCATTCACTGCGCTTGCCATGCCGATGCTTTAGCTTCTTCGTCCCTGTCTCTGTCTAATGACGATTGGGCCAACGACACTAATGACACCTCTGTGACCGTGACCACATCGCGGACCTCAACGACATCATCGGCCACCTCGACTGCGACATCGACCCTCTCCGCATCCACGACTTCAACGCTCACTGAGGTTGAGGAGCCAGTAGTTTCGGAGCCATCGTGGACTTTCGAGTCTTTATGGCTGGCCGGATCATTGTCGGACTACAATGGCGAGGACTGGATCAATGATCAGCAAACCATCATTGGACTGGTGCTGCTGGGCACAACTCCTTTTGCAGCATGCTTCCTAGGATGTTGCACCATCTGCCTGAGACTCATCTTCTGTGGGCAGACCGCGCAGGACATGCAGAAGACATTGTCGAAGCATGGTGTAGTGCAGGCCACAAAGATGATGTTGACATTGGCGACTCTCTGGGAGAGTGCTGCCTTGTTCATCCTCTTCTACAGCACCTTGAAGCATTCGCCAGCCATTGCAGTCCTGGAGGCTTTCGTCTACAGCCTATACCAAGGTGGGCTGGCATTGCTGCAGCACAAGCCAAAGGAGCAGTCGGAATCGGAACAGCGCAAACATCTGCAACCAGTCTCTGTGTACACCGACCTGCATGTGGGGAACTTCTTCGAGTGCGTCACCGTTTTTGTGCTCCAGGTGATGCTGTACATGTTCCTGCTGCTGACGGTTTACCACCAAGAGAAGCTTATTGAAAAGGAAATCACAGAGCAGCAGTTGTTCATGTACGTCTGTGGCTCAGTTGTTGGTTTGGTGTTGCGGCTGCGGGAGCAGTCCTTCTTGGCCGCCGAATGGGAGCCCTTCTGGCATCCGTACTTCTATGAAGACTTCCGGCGCCCACACCATTTTGCAAAAGTGCGCTGCTTCATGTCGTGGCTGGCAAACGAGGCTTTTGCCCGCACCATCTTCTTCTTGCTCCCGGTAATTCTGATGTACTCCCCCGACCTCTTGGAGTTCGTGAAAGATGCCACTTGCATCGTCTTCATCGCGCATTTGGATGATGTCCAGAGCACGGAGGAAGACCAGTGGATCGTCAAGGGCGAGCTTGTGGTGCAGGAGAAGCTGGGAGAGCTAAAGAAGCTCATGGCCGACTTTGCGAATATGAAGGAAAGAGATGACCAAAAGAAGCTGATCGCCCAGCAGCAAGAGCGGATTCAGGAGCTTCAGCAGATCGTGGTGCAGCAGCAAGCAAGCGTGCAGGAGCTGAAACAGGCAGCAGAGAAAGGAGAAGCGCAGACGACGGAGCTGGGGTCGCGAGTGGAGAAAAGGCTGAGGCAGCTTGAAGACAGCAGCCAGGTGGAAGAGCTCAAGCGCCTCTTGCAGACGAAGATGAATGAAGTCGAGACGACGAAGATGGAGTTAAAGCAGTTTGTGGTGGACAAGCTGCTGGAGAAGAAGACCAAAGAGCTTGAACACCTCGAGAAGAAGCTCATGGACTAGCAAGGTTCTTCCTGAACTATCCTGGCTACAGGATCGCTTGGACTCTGCAAGTGACGGGCCCAGCAAGCCGGCCCGAACCCCCGACCACGCGAAGTGTGCCTCGAGGGACTTTATACTGATTTATACTTCATATAGTCTCATGTGTTTACGCATGATCTCCCTGTTTGATGTACAGCTTTTCAAGTCGGTGAGAGGTTCCTCGGAATTGCCGTTTTATCCCTCCCAGGGTCTTCTCGCTGTTCCTCGATGCAAAGCAGCAAAATGCTCGTCTCGGACGATGCGCCGCCTGGGGTGCCGTAGCACCTGACTCGACTTCCCAGAGGCATCTGCAGGAGTGGGAAAAAGCTAAGCTCCGCGAATGCTCCTCACATCTTAAGTCGTCTGGCTGCGGTCTGTATGTGCCATAGCACCTCTACCAGCTGCTGTTGACGGAGCATGGTCTGGGGGAGGCATTCGTCTCTTGCACCAGTGTCACAGCACTTCAAGCCATGTCCATGCTCGAAGCAGGACTCGTGGTGGCTGCAAGCGGCGGCGTTGGCGGGGGCGGAATACTTGCACGCCCTGCTTGAGTTTTGCCTTGGCCTTTCTATCCGCTGCATATCGAAGGTACCGTTGTACATGCTCTTCTTGCGTTTCCGCGCGGCACTCAGCCAAACGAGGACATGGTGGTCCGGGTGCCACCAGAGCCAACATGACTGGATGACTTAGGGGCTTTCGGTGTTGTGCTTCAATGCTCGCTCGCTCCTGCGATCATGCATTCCTGTGGCTTCGCAAGGGCCAAAGCATGCCGTGGCCCTGTCCAACTTCACGATTCTCGGAGGACGCTTCCTGCTGAAACTGAGAGAAATGATGTGTTGAGTCTGCGACGCTGAGTTCGTGCCAAAAGCTTTGGGTCCAGTGGCAATGCAGGGGCCTTCGCCAACACGGCTTTGAATGCCCCGAAGACAGACGAGACGCTGGGCATACCAGTACTTTTGGCTATGATGGCGGTGACCATCCTGTTTCATCGGCTAGGCTGCCTGTTTCTCTCATATTGGCTTTTCAGTCATGGCTTGGGGCCTGCTACTCTAAAGGCCAGTAGGTAACGGTGTGAAGCAGTACAATAAGCATCACAGGGCATTCTGCTGGCAGTAGCCAAGACCTGTGCCCCGGAGCCTGGCCCTGCCGAGGAATGGCCGAGCGTTGATCAACTGGGACATCATCGTGATGATGGAGTTTTTTTCCGGGGGGTTAGGCTTCGGAAATTTCAGGGGGCTCAGGCTTGCTGGGACGGTCTACGCCTTCAACTCGAACTCCTTGGACTCAGATCTTTAACCGGAGTCTACATCAGCTTCCCAAGAGTTTGGATCAAGATCGCCAGGAGCCCGCCACCCTGGCCGGGACGGTCCTTGGCTCTTTCGCTTCAAAGTTCTCAGCTCAGATTTCGGACTAATGGCTTGGCTAGGTAAGCTGGCGATCTTGCCAAAATGGCTGCGGCTACGGTTTACTACAGCCGTTCGGTTATAAGTAGGTGCGAACGAGGAGGGTATATGAGATAGAAAACAGCGCCGCACATTACATGACAGCAGAGTAGAGTCTTGCTGTTTACTACCGCTGCATGCGTAGTAGGCCAGACTGACCCACGCCAGCGAATTGGTTGCGGGAAAGAAGCTCCCTTTAGCTTTGTTTGCCCTCAGCTCTTGCAAGGTACCTCGCGGATTTTGTGCTGATGGCAGCGAGCTCAAAGTCGGGGGAAAGCTGAACGGTACGCCTGGAATGCAGCAGGGCAGGAATGCTGGACACGAGCCATTCTCAGGAAGCCTAGGGCCTATGGGAACCCAACTCCCCCATAGTTACATACTAGTAGTCGAGAGATTATCCTTGCCCACTGGAAATGGCAGTCCTTGGACCTTGCCTGGTCATCTCGGCAGCTCAGGGATTTCTGGCCATCGTGCTGGCGCTTTTGTCTTTCCGCACGCTGGGCAAGGCAGCAAGAGCCCAATGCACCCGGCCGAAAACCCCCCCTATACTTTGCCCACTTAAGCTCAGGACTCTGGCTGTGGCTTACGCTTCAGGGCGAAGCATGGATGTCCGTGAGTAGCGTGCAGATGGACAGAAACCCACGTGCATCGTTCCTTTGTCCATGTGCACACCTGCCTAGGCGGCATCGCATCGGCGCACAATCAGCTGTTGCACAGTCTACCGTGACAACGTGCTTGCAAGCAAGCAGAAATAGTTAGTCGTGAGAAGCCTGGTCCAACCTGTTCTCGTGTAACCTGACCGGGTACAAGCTCACTCGATTTTGAAAAACACGTGAGTGAGTGGTAAGTAAAAGCATGGGACTCAATGATCGGAAGCCCTGAATTCTGAGCCCCCGCTGGTTGCAGGGCTTGGAGTTTAGAGCTCCGGGTCTGCCCCCCTGGTTGATAACGAGTACTGTGCAGTGATGCTGACAAAATTCGGTCCGAGACTGTCCTTCGAGAACCTGACCCCGCAGCAGAAAAGCTAAAACTGAATCGTCGTGTGTCTTTGGTTGCAAAGAACGGCAGCGGTCTTCGTTGCTTCGAGGGTCTCGGCCACCAAGCAACCTAACGAAGAACCGTGGTTCGCCGCATCTTACCTCGGAAGGCACCGTCGGCGGCCCAAAGCCATAGATCCCCAAAAGACTCGAAGCCCCAAAGACTCGCAGCCCCGCTGAGCGCCTTATAAAGGGGCTGGAGATGTTCCAGCACGAGACCGCGAAGGAGCCGGGAGTGGGAGGGGAGCGAGCCGCAGCGCGGGGCTGAGAGGACGCGGAGCTCCAGGCGGTGCCGCAAAGCGAGGACCTGGCCTCCGAGGCGCGGCCGCGGATTGGGGGAGGAATGCTTTCGGGGGGCAAACCGGGGGAGGAGTCCTCCTCTCTGACTGCTTTTAAGTGGACTCTCCGCGCTGGCCTGGCAGAGGAGGCCTTGAGCGAGGGCGAGGAGGAGCCCAAAGAGTGAGCTGCTCAGTGCCCGGAGCGGTGGCCCAGAGCGCATGGTGTCGCGGGTTTCTGCGGATCTCAGGTCCCGGAACCTCGTGGGCGACACGCGCCTGCGGACGGTGGGAGCGGGGACGCCCTGGCTGAAGGCTTGGACCTGTGCCGGCACGGCCCCCAGTAATGCCAGGGCCCGAAGCCGCGAAGCTGCAGAGCAGGTCTGCCTGCTCGTCTGCTGCTTTTTGGGCTGCGTGGCTGGCTGCTCAGCAGAGAGATCCCACGCAACGGCGACTCCGAAGAGAGCTGACAGGTCTTGACCGTTCTCAAAGGCGGTGGAGCTGGATCCGTCGTAGGCGCGGAGACACCCCTAAAGAACTCTGAGGTACCCCGCATGCCCAAAAAGCTCAAAATCAAAGTGGAAACCCCAAACAGTCGCTCGCCCTTCTCCCCGCAAAAAAGAGGGAGAGAGCCACACAGAGAGGCGTGGCCTGCGGCTCGGGGAGCTTTTGGCTCCTGAGCTGGGCGCAGCTTCCCTGGGTGCTGGGCTTCGGCCCGGGGGCCCAGAGTTCTGTCTCTCTCTGCGAGCCCTTCGAAGCGGTCGCATCTTCTGCTGCCAGAACGGGTAGCTCGGGTCTTCGTCTCAAAGAGCACGGCCTGGGCCCAGCCGGTCATTGCTACACTTTGAAACCCGATATGAAGGCACCCGAACGCTAAACAATGAACCTTCGAAGGCTTGAAACCGGGAGGCCTCAGCTGTAAGCAGAAAAAGGGCTGCCCGCCGCTCCTAGGCTGCCCTTTATTTCTGCATCCCCTTCGTTTTTCTACCATTTTTGAGCCCAGGCCTTATCTTCAGAGATATGCTCATCAGCGAGAACTTGGACAAGGAGGAGGCAGGGGGTTCCAGAGACTTCCAGCAGAGCTCTGGCTGAGTCTTTGTTTTTGAAGAGCTTAGGAGTCAGGCTGTCGGGCTTGGGGTGCATGTAGCTGCCTGTGGCAAGGGGGCATCCCGTGCTTGCAGGGTCTCTAGGCTCTACGATATCTTTTCAAAGCTTTCTGCCAAAGCACCCTGTGCGGTACAGGGCCCGTACAAAAGCCAAAGACAACAAGCATCTCCTAAGCCCTGGGCTCGAAACCCAGCACACCTCAAGCAATGATTTGAGCTCGTTGGTCCAGGATGGCCATGAGTTCGCCGCCTCGGAGATACGATGGACGTCGGCCACGACCATCCGGCAACCGAGCCCGAGAGGGGAGGAGGTTTTCGTTGTTTTTTTTTTCTCCTCTTATTGGTTTTGATACGGTCACAGCTTCTAGGGAAACCCAACATCATCACAAGCTTGTTCGGGAGCACGCTGGCTTGGAGCAAAGTCATGCAACACCAAGATCTACCCTGGTACAGCGAGCCTTTTGGTTCTCCACCCTGATACTGATACTACGCCTTCTCGTGACCCGTCGAGTAGCCCCCAAAAGCCCCTAAAGCCCCTACAGCCCCTAAACCCCTAACCCGAAAAGCCCTGACAATAGCGGGAGGAGCATAGCTGTATGTCCGCTGCTCAAGACGTAACGGCTCGAATGCTAGCCCCCCTGTTTTCTGAAGTTCTGGGTTTCTTCTTGGAGGGCACTAGGACTAACCTTTGGGGCTTGCGCTGTCCTTTGCATTGCACCCAGTTCGATTTGCCGGCCGTGGGCCTGACCTTCCTCCTGGGCTGTCTGACAGGTGCAGCCTTGTGTTTCTGGTTATTAGTGCCTGGGTTCTTAGGTTCTAGGGCTAGTCCTTCGAGGGTACCAAGCCAAGCGCCCGAGAACTCTCCCCTCAGGAGAGCCCAGCGTGCAGAGCCTGAGAGCCGCATTCAGCCTCGATTGCGAGGCTACTTGCATGAGTGAGGAGGAGCTTAGTATTGCCTTTGGTGACCTAACTATTTCGGTTCGGCGTGCTAGGCCTGCCACTTTGCGTTCAGCCTCTCCGCCAGAGGCCCAGCTTCAGAGGTCGGAGTCGCCCGACTCCTTTGTTCTAGTGGGTGAAGCTAGTCCTAGGGGGGAAGATAGTGGTTTCGACCCTAGGGTTACC